CCCACCGCCCCGTACAGCCACCCAACAAATAGCCTCCTCAACCTCCTGGGATTAGGACAGGATGAGGATTGGGCACCGCGTTCCAATTGGTCTCGTTAATAATTCTGGCTTAGCATCTCCGCCCGCCCGAGGCAGCTACCATTAGCATATAGATATGACTGCGCCGTTATGCTTGCCTCTTATGCAACCCGCGCCGCGACGCTACCGAGTTTTCGACGATTTTCGCGTCGAACTTCGACGCCTTTTGACCAATCGAAAAAGCCCCAGCTAATTGGCTGAACGGAAAACGAGTAAGTGATTTTCATAGTTCACGCAAGCTTGTCGTTTCCGTGCGTTAGTCACATAAGAGAGGAGGTCGTGGGTTAAAATAGAACAAACGAAAAGTAGGGACGGCGCCAGCGGAAGAGACGGAAGGGAGGCGAGGCTTGAGGAGCTTCTGACCATCGAAAATGGTTTCCACTGCGTTGACGTCGGCGTCGACGTTCTATTCCCATCGTACGAGCGAGCGAGCACCCTCAACCCCGTGGAACGACGTCTCTTTTGAGAAACTCCTTTGGCGTCTGGCCCAGGTCCTTCAAGGGACGCGTAACGATGCACCTGCCCTCTAATGAAACGATCAAACTCCTCAGAGCCCTCGCAGCCACCTACCTTCCACGATCCGACGCCAATGGACCAGCACCAACAAGACCCATCCGACCTCAGCAACGCAGCAACGCAGCGACGTTTCATTGACTTTCATTTTGAGTTCCCGCAAGTTTGAGCTCGCGACGCCGTTCGCTCGCGCACCGTGCGGCAGGAACGAACGTACTGAAGCTGCCCGAGCCGAAAGATGCGCCTGGCTCCTATTCAAACGGAGAAACACGCACAACGTGCGTAGGAACGAGCGGACTCTCACGGTCTTCTCGATGGATTTAAATATTACGTGATCGGTCGACGCAGCGTCGTCGTTTCGACGTTTGCGTCTAGCCAGTGGCTCTTTTTTAGTTTTTACGTGAAGCAACACGGTCGGCCGATCGCGCGATGCTTCAGGCCCGTGAAAACTTCCAGAAGAGCTCTAGAAAATCGGGAATATTTTACGTCGGGCGTCGAGACGTCCGTGTTCATGATTCTAGCGGTAAATTTCTAGAAAATCTTGTGGACGCGTTTGATGGCCTAGATCAACTAACCGGCATTATCTACGTCACCTCCGGCCAGTTAAGAGGATTACGTCTCCATAATTGAACAGTCGCATAATATCCGCGCCTGGATGTTTACCAGCTTCCCAGCGTCACTGGCTCTTTGGATTATACCGTGTGTACCAGTTTAACGAGTTTCCCCTTTAGCATAATCCGACTGACGTATGAATTTTCATGCGAATCGCTATTTATATTAATGGCCGCGTACACGCGCCAAGCCAGCCCCTCGCTGGTCAGGCGCGACGGAGGAGCATCGCGAAATCCATTCAATCGACTTGTCGACCAACTCGCTCGACTCTCGAGGGTGGACTTAGAAATAGATTGCTCCTTGGATGCACCGTGAAACACGCGAACTTCGGAACAGTTTAAGTGGATAAAAGGATGAGGGAGGCGGGGGG